AGCTCTTAAGATTCTCTCTCTGTCTTTAAGTTTTGCAATTTGACTATAACATGTCTTGAAGAAGACCTTTTTGGCTTGAATACGTTTGGAGATCGTTGAGCTTCCTGGATCTGAAGATCTGTGATTTTTCCTATACCTGGGAAGTTTTCCGCCAGTATTTTGTTGAATATGTTTTCAATGCAATCTCCTTTTTCCTCGCTTCTGGGATCCCCAAGACGTGGATATTTGAGCGCATTAGGTTGTCTGATATCTCTCTCAGATTTTCTTCAATGCCTTTGATTCTTTTTTCTTTTTTTTTTTCTTTTTTGTCTGCTTGTGTTATTTCTAACAGCCCATCTTCAAGTTAAGAGGTTCTCTCTTCAACTTCGACAAGCCTGCTGGTTAAACTCTCCATTGTGTTTTTTATTCCTGACTAAGATTTTGTTGGGGTTGCCAATTTGGTATGGCTACCTCAGTGACTACTCACTTGGACACTAGTGTCAGGCAAGTCCAAAATTGACTACCGGGAAGATGGCGGGGCATTCACACTGCTCCCTCTGGTGAGTCTCAGGTCCTGCGTTGCGCTCCTGCAGCGCTCCCGCGTTGAGCTCCCATGGCAGCCTACGCAGCCAGAGCCGCCCCGGCCGCCTCTCGCTGCCCCAGGCGCTCCTGGCTCCTGTTCGCGCCGCAGCCTGCTCAATCTCTCTTCGGTTCGCGGTTCCAGCGGCCCCTGGGGCCGGGGAGGCGACAGACCCTCCCCAGCAGGTACTGCAGTCACCGGACCCCGAGTCCCAGTGGCGGGGCTGTGCAGCCTGGCCCGGTGCTGAGGGCAGCCGCTGCGAGGCTGGGCACCTAGTGGCAGCCGTTCCCAGTGGCTTCTTCCCAGGGAGGATTTTGTAAATTTCACAAAATGACGCGCACTCCAAACCTCAGTGCTTTTATTATGAGAGGTCCCCTTCAAGGTCTCAGCAATCCTTCAGAGCAATCCACCTGGGTAGTAACAGCTACCCCCGGCGCAAGCAAGGACACCAGAGATTCTGACTCACCATCAGGCTTTCTGAGTTCCTCTTCTTGCTGGTGGCCTCTGGGATCCTGCGGGCACGGGGCGCGGGCAGTTCACTCCCTTCCCGCCGCCATGTTCTCTCAAAGCCTTGTTAAAATTATTTCTAAGTGTTTTATTCTTTTTGATGCTGTTGTAAATGAAATTACTTTGTTAATTTCATTTTTTTTTTTTTGAGTATTCATTGCTAGTATACCCAATCAATTTGTGTATCTTTGCACAGATCATGTCATCTGTGAGTAGAGAGTTTCACTTTTCCTTTCCAATCTGGATACCTTTTATTCTTTTTACCACCTTATTTCCCTGGTTAGAACCTCCAGTACAATTATAAATATGAGGATACCTCAAAAAGTTCATGGAAAAATTTGTATCATCCTTTAATTCTATTTTCCCACAAAATTTTTGAAGTACCCCTATATAAGTGGTGAAAGCAAACACCTTTGTGTTGTTCCTTATTTTAAAAGGAAAGCATTCAAGCTTTGACTATTATAAATGATATTATCTTTATGTATTTTCATTAATGCCCAGTATTTAAAGAAATTTCCTTCAATTCCTAGTTTGTTGACCTCTCCTTCCTTTTTATGCTACTCTACTAACCATTCTACTCGCAATTCTTTGATATTCTCTTTGAAACATGATGAGAACAAAATTTTTCCACTATCCTTCAAAGCTTTCTACTTAGATATTCACAAAAAATAGATGATACTCTGATAAACCACAGCAAAGCATCACATCTTCACAGGTATAACAAATTTTTTAAAATTTGTTCTTTTCATTGTACATGTTATGAGGTACAGTTTGTTGTTTCAACAGGACTTAACTAATTTTGACAAGCTGAACAAGTGTCTGAGCAGACAGCATCACCAGTTCCTTCCTAGGACTCCCATCTTGGACAATGATTAAGAAATATTTTTGGATCTCTACTTCCAAATGGCTTCACAAGTTAGGGCAAACGATCACAGAAACCTAACACAGCCTCTAATTTAAATGTTTAGTAGAATTGACTAGTAAAACCATCTGAACCTGGAGAAGTGTTTCTTGGAAGATTTTTAACTAAGAATTCCATTTCTTTCATAGGACTATTAGAGTTAACTTTTTCATCCTGGGTGAGCTTTGGTTGCTTGTAGTTTTCAAGGAAACCTTTTTCCTCTTTTGGGTTATTTGAACATTTTTTTAGTCTTCCATTTTTAATATATTGTGATTTTTGACTATATATCTTTGTATAGCTTAATTGGGCGCTTTAGGGATTACAATATACATTCTTAACTTCTCATAGTCTACTTCAAATCAATATTTCACTACCTCAGCTGCAATGTAGGAACCTTACCACCATATACATATAGGTTGTTTTACTGTCCTCCCTATACATTTATGTGTTTCACCAAACTTAAGTAGTTTTTAGCCATAATTTTTTCAAATGTTTTTTCAGTACCATGCTCTTTTCCTCTCCTTCTGGAACTTCAGTGACATGAATTTAAGACTTTTGTTACTATTTCACAAGTCCCTGAGGCTTTTTTCAGTTTTTTTTCAACCTTTTTTCTCTGTTTTTCAAATTGGATAATTTTTATTGTTCTGTCTTCAATTACTGACTCTTTCCTCTGTCATTTTCATTCTGCTATTGAATTTTCTTTATTTCTATGATTTTTAAATTTCCGTTATTTTTCAGTTCTAAAGTTTCCATTTTGTTCTTCATATCTTCTGTTTCTTTGCAGAGACTTTCTGTTTTTCTTTTTATCTCAAGAGCAAACATGATTGCTTGTTGGAACATTTGTATAATAGCTGCTTTAAAGTCTTTTTAAAATAATTTCAGTATTTGTATTTTAATGCTGGCTGGCATTTCTTGATTGTCTTTTCTCATGTGAGTTGAGATTTTCCTGCTGTTTTGTATGCTGAGTAATTTTGGGTTGCATCCTGGACATTTTGAATAGTTTATTATTTAAATATACTATTTGAGACTCTGGCTCTTGTCTAAATCCTATGAAGAATGTTGGGAGGTTTTGGGGTTTTTTTAGCAGACATTTGACCTGGTTAGGTTCAGTTTAAAGTTCCAAACCACTTTCTCTTAACTGTAATTCCAACATAAGTTCAGTTTCCTTTGTAATGCTATTCAGATCTAGCCTGTGTGTACACATCACCTGCTGGTCAGTCAGTGACCTGAGTAGCAATCTGTTAATTTAGTTCTCGAAGGCTTTTTGTATGCTAGTTAGGATCAGATCCATTAGGAGTTCATAAAAATTTCATTGGGTTGCTTTCCTGAATCTTTCCCTGATAGTTTCTGGTTCTCTGAGTCTTCCCTTTTCAGTCCTCTGGCCCAAAGCTGAAGGTTTAGTTACCACACTCTGTCACGCACTTCCCTGACTGTGCACATCCAGGGCCAAGTGACAGGAGGATGATAAAAAAAGCAAAAGGTTTCTCCACCCTCTTGAGACAAGTGTACCTCTACTCAGAAAAGAGTAGAGTTTTCCTCCCTTAGAGTTTTGGCTCTTGACAGCTGCACTACAGCTTCTGCCAAGGGGTTCCTTAGGAGCCCAGGAGAGGGAGAATGGGAATTAGGAGTTCCCTCTCCTGCTCTTTGAACTGGTACGAGAGGGCTTCTCCTGGAGTGCACTCATGAGTGCATTCTCTCTTGTGCTGTTTGCCTCAGTTCTCAGTTCCAGGTTTCAGGCAGCACTACATTTATGCTGGAGGTTTCCAGAGGGGGAGAAATGGTAATCCTGTCATCTTCAATTTGCCTGCTACTTTTTACTTTTCAGTGTCCTCACATAGCTGCTACATGATTGTGTCTGGGTTTTATGTAGAATTCAGTGGGAGAGACAGACTGTAGTGAGCTTATTCTATCTTACCTAAAACTGGAATCTGCAGTGAAGGATTTTGAGCACGGTCTCAAATAACATGGTCTGAGTCGCATTTTATTTTTTTGTCTTTAAAGCATATTTTTTAATGGTTTAATAGTTCAAATGCAAAAGTATTACATGTTAGTATAACAAACCACACAATACAGAATGCATAAATAAAAAGTGAATTCAACATTACCCCCACCAAATTCCCCAGAATAACTATCTTTTACTTGGTTGGCATGCATTATTTTCTACATGTAGGTGTAGTTGTGCACACGATATTTATTTTTTACAAAAGTGATATTATATCATATTGATCTACATTGTTTTCTGTCAGTACATACAGATTGACCCTTTTCAATGTGGCTGCAGAGTATTCTATGTATGAATGTACCATGATTAGTTTAGCAGTGCTTCAGTGATATACATTTAAATTTTTCTGTTTTGCTTTTGCCTTTACAAAATGTTATGTAAGTATTCTTTTCTACTTTTTTTCCTAATAGAAACCCTTTATCAAATTAAGAAAGTTTTCTATTTCAGGCTCAGAGCTTTTTTTTAAGAAAAATCAGGAATGGATTTTAATTTTACTATACCTTTAAAGAATACTTGCATTTTAGAAATGAGTATGTGTAAGATTGACATTGAGGAGAGGAGAGACTGGTAGCAGGAGACAGATATAACAGCCTCTCAGATGTAGGGTGAGGAAGGTTGGAACTAAGGCAATGACTGGAGAGGTGTTTTGGTGACTTATTTGATATGTGGAGAAATTGGGAGGAGGGAGTATGTATGGAGATAAGTCTGGCAGGCTCTTTGGTGCTATCTCTAGAGCACTCATTAGATGGCTTTGAGTCTTTTGTAGCATATAAGATCTTTGAAGTATCCCGGGCTGGGATTTCCTGGAAGAAGGCAATGAAAGAAGTTTAAGTGAGGCCCTGTTAGAAGTGGGCCCAGACCTAAGGGTAGTCATGAAAGTGCAGTGAGTCATAGGGAGGTAGGGAAAGGCCTTAACCTGCTAGCTTAGAATCCCCCTCAGACATGTATTTGCTTCCAGGTTCAAGTTTGGATAGTCAGTCGTTTGTGATGGTGCCCCCCAGTGATGATGTGGTGACTAATCTGGAAACTTTGACAAGCAAATGCCTCCATGGAAAGAACTATTGCCGGCAGGTCCTCTGTCTGTATGAACTTGCCAAGGTATGTGCCAAAGGGTGGGGCCTCCACAGGAAGCTCCCTTCAAGAGGGAGGGAAGTGGGAAGTTGGAAGTAGATTTTGGACATTGCCAGGTCAGCCCTTCAGATAATGATCATGACTTGGGAGTAGAGCTCTTGTCAGGTGTAGGCCCCTATAAGTCCATCTTTGGGGAATAGGGGGGAGGACACCAGGCCAAGTGTCAGGATGTCTTGATCCCTGGGTGCAGCTCAGACAGCCATAAAGCTAGGGCCAGACATTTCACTTCTCTGGGCCCCTGGTTCTTCATCTATTAATGATTTGACTATGAGAGTCCCTTCTAGACCTAATATCTTAGATTCATTTTCATAATTGTTTGGAGCATTCCATATGGAATGCAAAGATTATAAAGACAGGAGTCAGAGCAGCCAGACCTTGTGCTGGTTGAAAGAGAAAAACAGACTAGAAGTGGAAGAGCATGAGAGAAATAAAGCTGAGTGTTAAAGCCCTTTGTCTTGGAAAAGATTCAGCAACTTCTCTATTTTTTTTTTAGAAGATGACTGGTAAGGGGATCTTAACCCTTGACCTGGTATGTCAGTGCCACACCCACCCAGTGAGCAACCGGCCATCCCTATATGGGATCCGAACCCGTGGCCTTGGTGTTATCAGCACCACATTCTCCCAAGTGAGCCACGGGCCAGCCCGAGCAACTTCTTTAGAAACTGAGGGTTTTGTTGTTGTTGTGGGAAAAATAAAGAAGGGGATCTTGCATTTTATTCAGCTTTCTTCACATTTCATAATGTTTGAAAAGATCAGTGTTCAACAAGAGATAGTCACCTGATGCTTTCTGAAGACAAGCCTTTCTTTTGCTTGGATTTGGCTTTGGTGAAATGATAGAAAGTGTTAAAAAATAGTAAGTACTTGCTTCTTCTAAGGTTTCTGCTCAGGGTGAGGAATCTTTAAGCTCAGAAGACAATGGAGCCTGTCCACATCAGATTTCAGAAAGGGCTGTCTTTTGCTTTTTCCTGGCTTCTAAAAATAGCTTTGACTGGCTTTGCTTTCCTTTCAGGAGTTAGGCTGTTCCTACACAGATGTTGCTGCCCAGGATGGTGAGGCCATGCTCCGGGCAATCTTGGCCTCTCAGCAGCCTGACCGATGCAAACGAGCACAGGCCTTCATCAGCACCCAGGGCCTGAAGCCAGATACTGTGGCCGAACTCGTGGCTGAAGAGGTGACACGGGAGCTGCTGACTCCATCAGAGGGAACAGGTGTCCTGCCCCTGCCCTGTAGGCCTCTCCAACCACTCAGACAGCATTCTCAAGTTCCCAGTGCTAAGGATTTAGATGTTATGCTCATATACCGCCTGTATATTGCCCTCTCGTTTCCAGATTACACTTACTGCATTTATTTTGTTGTTGTTGCTCTTTATTTTATTATTATGCTTAGTGTAGTTGTGCCTTTATCTGAGCTAAAGAACTCCTTATGTCCTGTAAGATGACTACTAGGTCAAGGTTTCTAAGCTCAGCAAGGGGAGAGATGCAGAGGCTGCTTCATCAGCATTACCTCCTGATGCCCAAACCAGGGCAGAATGGACCTCCTGGCATAGTGCTTTTGTCCTTCTCCCAACTCCCTCATGGCAAAACCAGTGCCCGTCTCCACATTTTTCTGTACAGGACATAAGCAGACGTTCAGCCCAACAGAAGAAAGCCAGACATTTCTTCAGCTGACCACTCTCTGTCAAGACCGCACATTGGTAGGCATGAAGTTGTTGGATAAGATTTCCTCCGTTCCCCGTGGGGAATTGTCTTGCAGTAAGTCCTTGGCCTTTTTCTTACATGTGTTGAGCCTAAACAAGTCTCCTTCAGTCAATCTCTCCAAAACTTGATTTGGGTCCTTGTTCCTGTTCTGGATACCTAGCTCTCAGCATGGGTTATACCTTCTTGTTAGAAAGCCTTAAGTTCACTGAAGAAAACTTAGAAAGTATGGAAAAGTACCCCCAAATTTAAAATCACACAGAAAGGAGGTAATCTTTAATCACTTGACATACTTTATCTTATTTTACTCTTTTATTACCCTGCAAGGTGGATATTATTGTCCCCATTTTAGAAGGGAGGAAACTGAAGCTTAGAGAAGTTGATTTATTGCTGTTAAGTGGCAGTTGGTATTTGAACCTAGTCTGTGTGCTTTCAAAGCCTGCTCATTTTCCATGTCTAGCTTGTTACAGGCATTCAGTAGTGTGTCTGATCTTTTTCTATGCATGACTATGGTTTTCTTTTTTCAAAAATGGCATTATACTGTGTATATTGTTTATAATTTTTTATTTTATGAATATGCTGCCAACATTTTTCACGACATTGAATATTCTTCAATATAATTTTTAATGGTTACACAGTATTTCTCTTATATGTAATTAAGAATTTTATGCTCTTGCGAGACCTTTAGATTGCTTCCAATCTTTGCTGTTTTAAACACTCTCATGAACATCCTTATAGGCAAATCTCTGGGGCATCCATGATTATTTCCCCAAGTTAATTTCCTGATTCAAGGATAGGCCCATTTTTAAGGCTTCTGAGTAAGTCAGAAGCCTTAAATATATGTAACTCCAAGTTTCACTCTAGAAAAAAAGAAATCACTTCCTATTCCCATTTAAGCAGTGTGTGAATATCATTTCCTGGAACCCATTCCACTTTGCAAATTTGATGGACCCCCAAAAGGCATTTTACTGATGTTTAGTGAACAAATTAATGGAGATTTTTTAAAAGTTGAAGAGTTTCTTTTTTATTTTTTTTCCCAGCAGCTGGCTGGTACAGGGAAAAGTTTCATTTTTAAGATGGCCTTCTGTATCTTTTTCCAGTCCAGTTCAATAATATTTACTGAGTACTATCTGTGGGCTGGGCACTCTAAGCACCTGGGACATGGGGAACAAGTTAATAGCAGTCCCTGGAGCTCACAGACTAAAGTCTTTGTACACATTAAGAGACAGATTGATGGGGTCAAGAAGGATTTCTAAAGCAAATGCCCATGGTAAGGACTGAAGGATTAGTTGTCAGGGGTGCTCAGTAGTCAGTAGATTTGGGGAGGACCCTGCAGATGCAAAAGCCCAGAGGGCACAGCATGTATTAAGGTTGGGGGAAACCTTTTTCAATCCTCTACATTGCAAATATTTTTCCCACTTTGCCTTTTAATTCTGCTTACAGTGATTTGTGTAGTAGTTTTAAATCTGTATATAGTCAACTCTTTCACCAATCTAGAAAGCCAGAACACCAAATGGCACTTTATTAGGCCCTAAGACCTTCCACTGAGATAAAAGCAGAGAATGCCCTTGGATTCATGTTGGCAGGAACTCCATCAGTTTGTCTGCAGAAAGTTTTTCCATTTCTAGAAGGCAAATGTCCCTTGTTCTCATTTGTTGGGCCTTTTGGAGATGGTGGGCCCTACATGACTATATTTGAGGATAGAGTTAATCCCTGTGCTATCACTGAGAGAATTCAGATATCATCAGGGGGCTTTCCCAGAGCTAGAGCTGATGAGGTCAGGGGCCTCAGACGACTGGTGGGAGAGCCCTCTCCAGACAGGCAACTTCTCTACCAGGCCCCTTCACCCTCCTGCCAGGTAGAGGTGGACACTAGGTAGCCAGGGTTTACAACCCTGTCTTAACCAGTACCTTACCCACCCAGCCACAGAGCTCTTGATCCTGGCCCATCACTGCTTCACCCTGACATGCCACATGGAGGGTATCATCCAAGTCCTGCAGGCTGCCCGGATGCTCACAGATAACCACTTGGCTCCCAGTGAGGAGTATGGACTGGTGGTAAGTAGCCCCCTCATCCCCACCCTTGATCCTGAGAGGAGCAAATAGGCTGGGGGCCAGCTTAGTGCTGATGTGGGCTAAGGGAATGCTGCCCATCTAGATACCACTACCTATTTGATAGTTGGCTGGGTAACCCAACCCTCTGCTCCAGGTTATAATTTCTGTCAGAATCAGAGACTGCTCCTAAGGAGTAGGAAGGAAGAGAATCCCTGCCATGTTCCAGGGCTATCACATCCCCTTGCCAGGGCAGTTAGCTTTTCTAGAGGGGTAAAACAGCTGCATTTCTCCCCAAAACAAGGTTCAGACCTTCCTATTACCTCTGAATTGAAATGAGTTGACAACTCAAGCCTCGTGTGCCTCCCCAAATTCTCTGGGCTTGAAGCTGACCTACCTGAGTGGCTGAGCAAGCCATTGGGCACTGTAATAGCAGTGGTGGGAAGAAGCGGGCCTGCCCAAGAGAATGGCACTTTAGCATTTGATAGTCACATTTACAGACAACAGAGGAGAGGAACAGTCAGTGGTGTCCCAATGACTGGCATTTCTGAATCCTCCAGAGGAGGTCCACTTTTGGATACATAGGATGGTGCTAAGCATGGCAGCCTAGCCATTAGCCCTTCTCCCCCTGGAGTTTAGCATCTGAAAGCAACCCTATTGCTGGAGGGTAGTGGTCTGGCCCAAAGAACACCAGGTGATGCTGATGCTGGCTGCCTTTCCCCTCCTTAGGTACGTCTCCTCACTGGCATTGGAAGGTACAACGAGATGACATACATATTTGATTTGCTGTATAAAAAGCACTACTTTGAAGTGCTGATGAGGAAGAAGTTGGATCCGGTAGGTGTAAAGTAATGAGCTTCAGAATGACCTGTACTACTGACATTCAGGAATCTTAGTCAGGGTGGATCCCTGGGATGTGGAGGGAGGGAATTAGGGACCTCTATGGGAAACATACTATAACCAGAGGCTTAAGATGATAGAGTTCAGACCAGGTGGTGATTATACAGATGCTAAATATTTAAGAAAATGAGTTTGTCCTCCCCACCTCAGCCTCCATCATCTGCTTCTCCTCTCTTAAATGCCTGTTCCAGCAAGGGCAAAAGCCCTTCTTGAGAGCCATGCTGAAATGGATGGTCCAGCTGAGGCTGTGTCTGAGGATTTTTAGAGTGGAGAGTTTTCAGAGAACCATAAAAAGTAGGTTGCTATGAGCCAAGTTAGGGAGTAGGTGCAAGGGACTGGGCCAGAAAAGCTGTGGAGCCATTGATGGTGATGACCAGGATGGAGGCTTGGAAGCAAAGGCCTGACCTACTGAGGTCTGTGGGCTCTGGGAGCCTTTTTGTCCTCAACATGCTTTGTGACACCTGGCATGTCACTCACAGAGCCTCTGTTTCCAAATCATTTGTTTGGCTGATTCATTGCTTCTGCTCATTTCACCTCTGAAGATCTGAAGAGTTAAAAATTGAAGTGCACTTTTGGCTTCTGGGAACCTGGGCCCTGCCAAGCAGGGTTAAGAGACAAAGCAGAAAAAGTGTCTCTTTAATGTTGTGCCAGTTTCAGGACATACCAGTCCAGTCATCAGGAGAGGAGCAAGTTCTAGACATAGGTGTGTTTTTCAAGATCCCCCAGAGGGTTTTTTAAATTGTTTTTGAGGCAGTTTTACTTCTGCATTTAAATAGTCTTTTAATAATTTTTTTTTCTGATTACAAAACTAATGCACATTCCATGATAGACACTTGGAAAACAGAACAACACAGAAGAAAGCCTTCAGTGTTTATCCACCATCTGCTGACAGCCACTGCTAACAATTTGGTATAAGCCCTTTCTTTGCACATGTACCCAGAAACATATATACATACTTATATATTTTAACAAAACTTATATTATGCTGTGAAGATGTGAAATAGCAAGTTTTCTCACTTAACACGTGTGTCATGACTATTTTCCAAATCAACAGATGGTCATCTACATCAGTTTTAATGGCTACATGGTATTCTCTTAGCCCTTATTTTGGACATCTGTATTGTTTGCTATTAACTATCCTTGTTACATTCATCTTAGCACTTTTCTGCCTTTATGGACAGATTCTTAAAAATCAAATTGTTAGATCAGTGTATATGTGCATATTTTTAAGCCTTCTCCCTTCTGAAAGGTTTACCATTCACACTCCCAACAGCAAAAAGGACATGCCTCTTTCCTTATACTTGGGATAGCATAAACTTTTGTATTCATTTTTGTTTTTGCTAATCTTTACCATTTTCTTGGGAGTTTTTAAGGAACTTCCAGAACAAAGGGACTCAGCCAGTCCTTCCTGCAGTCCCTGGTTGAGACCCTGATATTATTCCCGTTTTTCCTGAGCAGAGTGGTACCCTGAAGACAGCCCTGCTGGACTACATCAAACGCTGCCATCCTGGAGACAGTGAGAAGCACAACATGATTGCCCTGTGCTTCAGCATGTGCCGGGAGATAGGAGAGAACCATGAGGCAGCTGCCTGCATCCAGTTGAAATTGATTGAGTCTCAGCCTTGGGGTGAGTGAGGTCACCCCAGAGCAGTACTGCTAGCTGGAGAGTTCTTAGGGCTAAGGACAAGAGCCCATGAGATTGGCTGTTAAAAGCTTAGGTAGTTATTAGTCACTTAGTGGGGGACCCAGCTGAGCAGATAGGAGATATGGGGACTTGGAAGACATTTGCACCTTGGGATTGCACTCTTGGGACCTGTATTCTGTGCATCCAGCATCTACCGTATTATCCATCAGGACTAATGTTCATGATGATGCCATGTAAACTGCCTTTGATGTTTCAGAGGGAAATGAGGAACTAGAGGGTGCACTGAATCCTACTTCAGAGTGAAGTTAAAATAAGCATGCATTTCTGGTCCCAAATCCTTCACCTGAGTGAGATATACCTGTCTCACTGTGAACATGGCTGGGTTGTTTCTATTCCAACCCACCAATCACTATGAGTGGGGTGAGAACAGCCTGCCTTGGGAGTCAGGAAACTCAGCAAGTCTCCTTTATTCCTCTGCAGAGGACAATCTCAAGGATGGGCACCAGCTGAAGCAGCTACTGCTGAAGGCCCTGACTCTGATGCTGGATGCAGCAGAGAGTTATGCCAAGGTAACCATGGAGAGTCGTACTCCAGACTGGCCTTGGGACTTGGTGTCTGCAGTAGGACTTATCTCTTCCCCTGGGCTCTTCCAAGTGAAAGAGGAGGGCATCATGGGCCGGCCAGCCAGGGCCAGAAGGGGTAAATACGGTTGTTGGAGGGCTCACAGGAGATGGTGGCAGCAGAGTCTCTGACTGTGCTGTCTCCTTCTAACCTTGTCCTTTAGGACTCCTGTGTGCGACAGGCCCTGCACTGTCACCGGCTCACCAAGTTGATAACACTACAGATTCACTTTCTAAACACTGGCCAGAACACAATGCTCATCAACTTGGGCCGCCACAGGCTGATGGACTGCATCATGGCCTTATCTCGGTTCTACCAGGTGAGCAAGAAAGGAAACTAGCCAGCATGGTCACCAGCATCCTCTCTTGCTGTCTCACTCATTGGAACCAGAGGTTGAGTGATTTGCCTAAGGTCTTAGAGCTTGTGACAGAATCAGGACAGTCCAGTTCATCTGACTTAGCTGTGTGGTACTACCATGCTGAGAGGCAATTTGGTGTAATTCTCACTAGCATATTTGGGCAGAGGTTACAGTACAGTGAGACAGTATGGTCTCATTTTCTCCATACTATTAGGTCAGCAGAGAGGCAGACACCTTTGGCCCCTTAGACTGTTCAGAGTAATACCCCTGCACAAATCTCTTAGCCCCTGCATTTATAGAATGATGCACCCAAGTTATCTTGGGGAGTTAGGGCTGCTAGGAGATTGGTTCTACCCCTTTAATGAACAGAGATTGTTATCAGGGAATCAGCCCTTTCACTCTTCTCATACAGATGAGGTAGTGGGAATACAGTTATTCATGGTCAGCAGTTTTATTAATCCACTGTGAGGAAGATTAAAAACACTGAAGGACGGTATTTGGGGGTTATGGGACGGGAAATGCCAAACTTAACACCAGGCTTTTCATCATTTCAGATAGCTAGAACCTTTTAACATAATTGGTAATGATCATATTCATTATATGAGTGTATATAGTATTGTTTTCTAGAAGATTTTGCCTTCAGTTTAACATCAACTGGGTTCTGATGGTATCCTTCACTTCTATCCTTTTTGGTTTTGGTGGCTGGCCGGTATGGACACTTCATCCTTTTAAGGCTTCTATTGTCGCTGAGGCCTATGACTTTGTTCCAGATTGGGCTGAAATCCTATACCAACAAGTGATTCTTAAAGGTGACTTTAATTACTTGGAAGAATTTAAGCAGCAAAGGTTATTAAGATCCAGCATATTTGAAGAGATTTCAAAAAAGTAAGTATTAAAATTTGACTATAAGCATTTCTCCTTGCCTCTGCTTTGAGGTGAGACAGAAACAAGAATTTTATGGCTAAGTACAACAAAACTTTAGCTACCCCTCTGTTTAAAATGGCAAAGAGATGTCAAGAATCCCCAGAAGGAAGAGGGCTTTTAATAGATTTATGCAAACAGATGAACGAAAACCGTTTGCTTATGGTGCTTTGTACTTAAAATGGGAAAATAGCTACTCAGCTTGAGTGAGGTGCCCAAAACCCTAAATATCAGAGGTTCCCTTTGGAATGCTAAACTTATTCTAATTAAGGTGAGTATTAACATACTCGTTTCTAATGAAATAATTTGTTTATCAAACACCCCCTATACTAGTCTGAGATATTTTCCCAGACTCCAGCACCATCTCCCCTGTAGGTAGTGCTGTCAGACCTAACAGCCCTCACACTAGATATCTTAACCTGTAATTTCTTGTGTCTTTGCCTAGATATAAACAACATCAGCCTACTGACGTGGTCACGGAAAACCTGAAGAAGTTACTCACATATTGTGAAGATGTCTACCTATATTACAAGTTGGCATATGAACACAAATTTTATGAAATTGTAAGTGTGCTTCTGAAGGACCCTCAGACAGGTTGCTGTCTAAAGGACATGCTGTCAAGCTAGATGATTTTCATAGGTGCCTCTTTTCTTGTACTAATATGAGGTTCTGACTGATGTCCCCAGTCAGAGTAGAACAATGCATTGGGAATATATGTTGTCCAAGTTTAAAAAAAAAAAAAAAATGCCTAAGACTGTACTGGATCAGTCCTTTGTGGGTGGTGGGTAAAGAATGAGAGATTTTTCACAAGAAAATTCCTATTTAAAAGTGATTGTTCTTCTATACCATTTTATGTGGATACTCGTATTAAGAGCAAAAGCTTCCTCTTCCTCTGATGGCTTCTACATTAGGAGATGATACAATAACAATTAAAGAATACCTGTGTCTGCAGATTCCAGTTTCAAAGAAATTTAATATTATTTGCACAATTAAGAAACAGGTGATACATTTTAATTTGTTAGAAACTGGTCTTTTGATAATAAAATAGATTTTAAATTCAGTGTATGTCATTATTACTGCTAAGGAAATCTTAGCCCTTGTCTGCCTTAAAACAATCTTTATTTACTGTGGTTATTGCTATGTAGTCACTGCTTTCTGTTAATCTCTCAAAAATTGTTTAGATGGTTTTCCACTTAATAGTCTACAGAGCATTGATGTTCTTATTTCCTATATAAGAGAAATTAAAAATAATATTTTTTTGTTCTGCCCCTACTTCTGGTTGTGACAATTAAGAAAAAAAAGACTAACCACAAATTTGGTTAAATCACTTAGGAGAAGCTATATAATAACAAAGATCCCCCAGACTGTGCTTACAGCTGTAACCTAAATTATAGGCTCAGTTACTCCAAATAAATAGTTCTTCTAGGTACTCACTTAAGGCCTTAGTATCTAAACAACAAAATAAATTCCCCAAATAAATAAAAGGAGGAAGGCAGCCATACATTTTTGTTGCTCTGTGGTGACACTATCAAGGACCTGGCAAATCATTCATTTTTAATGCTATAACTATGTCAAGCATTTACTAAGCTTTAGTAAGTATATAGAGATCTCTATCCCAAGAGAGCTGTGTTCTATACTCTCCAAAAATATCTCTTGGGCAGTAACACAAAATTTAAGTCCTCACAATAGTGATTTTATTAAATTAGTTACTTTATAAAACATTGCAGATGTCATAATTGTTAACATAACAATTTACCAAACTGTAATTAACTGGTGCAGTTTGCTGAGCATGTTTTATAAAGGAAAGGAAATGCCAAAACCCTGTTAAAGTTGTTCCATTGCAGCCTAGGAGATTTGTTTCTCACACACTCAAATCAGGCAAATAAAAACAGGTAAAGAGTTTCCCTCCCCCATCTGAAGCACTCCATTAGTAGAAATAGTCTGATAAATAAAAACTAGACAGTCTATGCACTCCAGAGATTCCACAACTTGTAATGCAGTAATGGAGTGATTTAACTTCTTCAACTTCGCAGTTGGAGAGTTTTGGTCATTTAATTTTTGAGTATCAAACCTAGTGCTTTTCAGCTGCAGTATCTTCACTCTGAGATAAGCAGTCTTCTTCACAATGTATTTTTTAATATCCTCACACTCAATTTTAAGACAAAGCAATTTTAATACTAGGTGCACACCACATGCCCCTGCTGCAAACTGCTTTTCTTGACAAGTTATGAAGTAGTTCAAGGAGGTATGGTTAAGGCTGTATTACTGAATGGTGCTGGTAAATACTACACAATTTTTTGTCATGTTGCAACCTTTGTTTCCAATTTAATGACTGCTGCTGTGGAATCAGATAGCAACAATGACAACATTATTAGGCTTTTTCTTTTTTTTTTTTAACTATGATTTAGTAGCAACTGAGGTTCCCGATTTTAACCCCTTGGCAGCAAGATCCAAGTTCCCTCATTTGCACGTTAGCACCTAAGTGTCAAGGGGTTAAATAACCAGCACAAAAGATACTGCACTTCTGATTGTAGCATTTGGCAGAACTGAAAGGAAAGGAAGTTGTGCTACATGTTGAAGGGATTGTGGGCAACAGAAAGAAGACACCAAAAGAAGATAAAATGTCACATGAAGTCTTCATAGTCTTGTACATATCCTCCATCATAACCACCATAATCTGCCAGATCGTCTTTCATGGTGGCCTTTAATCCCCCTCCAGGAACCACACCTTTCTTCTTCTTTTTGGCTTTGCTTTGCTATAGATGAAAGAGAGTTAATTCATGAGACTTTATCTGCTGTGGGCATCTTATCTGGTCCAGCAACCCTCATAGAGACACCAAAGCCCCTGATCCCAGAAAAAATGTAGTTCTCTAAGGGAGATCCCAAGCCTAACCTACAGCAATTTCTATTAACTCAGAAAAGAGGAACGTGAACGTGTCTATAAACAAAGGGACAGTAATAGCACCCACACTCTATTCCAACTTAAATGGTATTGGTGAACTGCTTGACTTTTAAGTTCCTTAGGATAGGCTCCTACTACATTTGTTGAGAATATTCTGCCTACAACCCCCCATCCTGATGTAATACATATTTCCCTGCACAGCTTGCTCTTACCTTTTCTTGCTTCTGTTTTTCACTGCAAAGCACAGTCAATGAATTGGTAATCTTTTTCAAGTCATCAATTTCCACTAAAAAAAAAGTCATACCACTAAACTTTAATTTTTAAACATTTTGAAAAATAAGTAAAAGCAAAATATACATCTTTCCAAAAGTATTTTATGAGAAATCTAATTTGTCCATCATTAAACTTCAGTAACTTTGAAATGACTATGAATTTTCCTTTTTAAGACATAGGTGGTAAAGAATCATTCAGTCTATGACTAAGCTCACAAATAAGAACTCACTAAAAAAATGGTAAACTCAGCAACAAAAATTTAGCTTTATAATGACCTGTAATCACCAACACACCATTGCTACACCAAATAGAAACTAAGTATCTTTAGAGCTCATATAAAGATCTTTCCTTATTACAAAGTCTAAGCACACAGAGGAGGATAACCATGCCCTTCCATAACACATCCTTGATGCTCAGTGTGGAACAGGTGAACAAACATTGAATGACGAATCCCCTACCCCATGATGTCTCCATTTTCTAGCACAGGAACTAGAATAAAAACAGTGACTATCTCACTGTCCTGCCAAGAGAAAGGTCTGTTTAGTGGACAACATATCCTCCCATTCTTATAAAAATATGGAGCTGGAAAGAGACACCAGTTTTGGGCCGGCCCAGTGGCACACTGCTACAGTGCACTGCTACAGTGCGCCGCTTGGGAGCGCGGCGGCGCTCCCGCCGAGGGTTTGGATCCCACATACAGACCGGCCGCTCAGTGGCTGAGCGAGGTGCGGGCGCAACACCGAGGGTTGCGCTCCCGTTGCCGGTCCGCGACACTGAGGGTTGCGATCCGTTGCCGGTCACGAAAAAAGACAAAAAGGAAAAAAAGAGACACCAGTTTTTAGTTATCAGAAAGTGTTCAGTTTTTTGGACTGGCCTGTGGCTCACTCGGGAGAGTGTGGTGCTGACAACACCAAGTCAAGGGTTAAGATCCCCTTACCGGTCATCTTTAAAAAAAAAAAAAAAGTGTTCAGTTTTGGTTAGAAAGCACCTCCAAATACAGGAAAATAGTACATGCAGAATAAAATACCAGCTCTGGGTATATCACTGATCAAATTTAGAATCCTCCAGCTTAGTGATAATTTCTCAGAGAAAACCCAATTTAAAATTCACTGTGTAGGATTCCTTTTTCACACTCTTAAAAACAGCAAATACCAGCAAAACCAGTCCCTTCCATATTAGTGCTACACCACCCATGGTTGTCACTCCCCTGAAATGTATGACTCCTCTCAGGGTGTGACACCACAGCCATGGACCCAGAGAATAGGTGCCAGCTGTACTGAACAGCTTACACCTTGTCTCAGGCTTTCTAATTTTAAAATAAACAGTCACTGAAATCTCACTCCACTCTAAAATCCTATAAGCCCAGAGATCACTTCCCTCAAAATTCACTTTCTAGCCCCTTTCAAGGGATAATTAGATAAAAAATATAAGCCAGTGTTTTACTGGCTACCTTGCTGACAAGCCCAGATGTTTCTTTGGGAAGCCACTATAAAACAATTAAGAAGGCAGCCTCCCCTACAAAAAAACCCAAAACTTAAACTTTTATATTTGCAGAACAACATTCCCAAGGTAATTGCTAAAGAGCAAAAACCAACCAACCTCCATCCTCCTGAGTATGGTGTCCTTATTGAAATCTACCCAAGGGACTAGAGATTAGAATTACTTACATGAAATACACACATCTCGAACTAAGGCTTCCAAAAAACTGGCATAATATAGTGACTTTTCATACTGCGTAATTTTATCTTTTAGTAACCTTCCAAACTCTGTGAAGTCATCTCTTGAAGATGGGTTCATGGCATCTATTCCAAAAACTGAATTATTATTAACACCTGTTGGAGAAAAGCAGCACTGAAAATATCAGGAAGTTTTTTTTTTTTTTTTTTTAATTTTATAAACCGAGTAGCTATCTGAAAAACCCTGTTATTTCACTCTATAGCAAAGATTCTTAACCTGGATCCACTGGAGTCCTTGGACAGAATTCAGGGGGTCTGTGAATTTGAACGAGAAAAAAAAATTACATGTTTATTTTTACTAACCTCTAATTTAGCATTTCCTTCCATTTTTATTAAAGGCAACAAATCACATATTAGCAAAACCTGACTTGCCAATAGGACCACAAATACTTTCATATAACATTACAGTTGTTGCAGATATCTTGCCATTGTTCAGTCATCATTACTTTCAAGTTACATTACTTATTAGACCTGCCAATAGATCTTATTTAATTTAATGCATTAATAAAGAAGCACATAATTCTGTACCACAAATGTTATTTTAGTATTTTGATACCTATTTCAATATAATAGATTTCCTTTGTAAATAAAATCCTATGTATTTTATTCATTTAAAAACAATATATTAAGGCCCATAGGCTTCATCATCTGCCAAAGGAGTCCATGGCACAAAAGGGATGCTCTTAAAGGGTTTGTCCAAGAACAGCCCACAGTAAAGTGGGGAGAGAGGGAAAAAAACACAGGAAACAAAGATGGATCCTGTGAAAGTATCCAGCTAACTCCAGGAACTAAAAGCAGGGGTAAACCATGTGTTAAACCCCAGTAGAAAAATTAATTTGGCCTAAAAGAGTTCTTCTAGGTTAAGAGACAAGTATGCTTCTGTATCCTCAGTGTCAAATAAATTATTTGTTAACAGTATCATGTATTCAGTATTTTAGTATGAGAAACACAACAGTAAAATCCTATTAACCAAACAATGACTGTATAAATGCATAATGTTTTCACCTTTTAATCTGTAACTGATGTCCCATCCTAGGCTTTATGCACATGGCATAAACCCACCCTTTTTTTTAAAACCACTTCATGGTAAAAACACACCTCTTTAATAAACAAATGGGTAGTTTTTAACCATCCCATAAAGACATGTAA